GAGGTAAAACTTTTTATTTACCCGTAAGTTAATATAACCTTATCACATTTTTAGGCAAAAGAGCTACCCCCGCGGATGAACCATATATTCGACAGTTTGGCTGGAGAAGATTTAATCAAAAGATTTCAATCTTTTGATGATCTTTTGGTTAACGAAGGCATTATTGAAATTACATATTTTGAAAAAACCATATTCGTGACCAAATAATAAAAAGTTTATGTGGACTTGCAAGAATTATTCGATAATCGGCCATTGAACTCGACTGGGACTGAACCTGGATTAGATTCATCTAAGAAGCAACTTTCAGGTGCACCAGAAATGAAAATAAATTTGGATGCTGAATTAAATCCATCTGAGAATCAACTTTCAAGACCCAAAAATTAATATAACACAAAATATTGTCATAAAACCCGGTAAAGACATTATCTATCTAAATTTGCCATCTACTAGTAAAAGTATAGGTGACTACTTAATAGTTCCAGAAAAATCAACAAGAAAGAATAAACGTAACACCAAAAGAGTTTCCTTTGCTGTAACATCAAGAGAGTATCAAGAGTATTTTGAAAAGAACCATGCCTTAAAGATTAGAAAATCAAAAATTATAGAGAAAACGAAAAAGAAAATAGAGTGCAGCAGCAAAAGCTGTAAAAACTAGTGCCCGAGATACTGATAAAAATAATTCATCTGTGCAAGTTTCGGATAATAAAAAATAATTACCTAATATGTAATCGCTGCAAGAAAAGAATTCATCGACGATGTGTTCCTACATATTCCTGAAGTTTCACCGAGTTTCACCGAGTGATTACCGGTATAAGCAATCCCCCAATAACTGACCAACGGTTTCGGGTGGATGAATTAGTAAGTGGTAGGGTACTTTTTTGTCCTGGGGTTGAGAAATTGGCTCCAAAGGCGGATGAACCTATTAGTGGTCAACGACATAAGAATGTAGAAGCAACGGGAAACCGTTATATTAAAGATCGTCAGATTTTCCTAGAACAATAACCATGCAAAGTACGGTGATTCACATGGCCCCTAGTTCGCGGCGGACCTTTAATGGTCGAGGGGTGTTAGAATCTGCGCGAGGAGGAGTAACCCGAATGTGGCAACTAACTATATGGAGAACAAATCCTTTTTAAATTTCGGGACATGGAATGGAGGAGTTTGTTCGAACAAAAAAAAGACGCACAACACGATTCAGGAAATGAACAGACTGAACCTAGAAATATTAGGCATAAGCGAATTGCGCTGGCCTAGTTCTGGTAAAACATTGGTCATGGATAAAACGATATACTACTCCGGAAATGACAGCTGTGATCATCTATATGGAGTTGGAATAATTATCTCTAGATAATTATTCGGAAAATCCAAGCAGCCGTTGTAAATTTTGTTCACTTTTCGGATAGATTGCTATTATTACAAATACGGGGTAAGCCCGTGAACATTAATGTAGTACAAGTGCAGATAAATCAGAAGCTGTCATAGAACATTTCTATAAACAACTCAAAAAACTTCTACAATATTTGTATATTGTATCGTGAAAGGAAGAAATTATTATAATAATAGGTAATTTAAATGCAAAAAAAAAGGAAAAGGCCGAGTCGACAATATAATAGGTGATTATAGCTTAGGAATTAAGAATGCTAGAGGCGACAGATTGGCTCAATTTTGTCAACAAGAAAACCTGGCGATTACGAACACATGGTATCGATTACCACCCCGTAGACTGTATACCTGGGGGTCACCACAGGATAATGAACAAAATTGTATTGGAAATCAGATAGACTTTATCCCAACCAATCTAAGATTTAGAAATTCTATTGTAAGCGTTAAGACTTTTCCTGGAGCAGATATCCCCTCAGACCATAACCTCCTTCCAAAAAAAAAAAAAAAAAAATGAAACTGAGGGTAAAAAAGATAATAAAATTTAAAAGTTCTAAGGTGAATACTCAGTTACTCAAGATAAAAGAAATCCGTGCTGAGAGTTCAACTCGTATCAATCAAGAAATGAAGAAATTAAGATCGGAAATGAAAAACGCTGAGAATGTAAATATTATGTAAAGCAAGATTAAAGATTCTGTTATAAAAACGCACAAAGAAATTCTACAAAAAAAAGCAGAAAGCCAAAAAACCTTGAATGACTCAAGAAATACTGGAAATAATGGAACAAAGAAGAAAATATAGAAACAAAAACCCAAATAAGTACAGAAAAAAACATAAATTAATTAGGAATAAAATAAAAGAGGCTAAGGAAAAGTGGATGATGGAAACATGCATCAAAGTCGAAGAATTGAAGAAAAAGCATGATCATTATAATTTACATAAAAAAGTAAAAGAATTATCTGGAAAATCACGAACAAATACACCTAACCGATTAATTGACAAAAATAATAAACCTATTAATAACCCAATTAAAATAAAACAAGTATGGACTAAATATATTGAAGATCTTTTCATGGACACAAGAACAGAACCAACACAAATTGATAACGAGAAAGCTCCAATGATATTAAAATGTGAAGTCCAACATGTTATAAACAACTCAAAATCTGGCAGAGTCCCTGGGCCAGATGAAGTTAATATCGAGCTGATTAAACTTATAGACGAAGACAATTTAAGTGCAATAACTATACTCTTTAACAACATATACAAATCTGAGATACCTACAGAATGGCTGCTATCGACCTTTGTTTCGCTAATAAAAACGGAGAATCCCAAATACTGTAATGACTATAGATTAATCAGCTTAATGTCACACTTATTAAAAACATTTTTAAAAAATATACATGCAAGAATATTCAGAAAGTGCGAAGCGGATATTAGTAATAGACAGTTTAGCTTTCGTAACGGCTACGGAACAGTGGAAGCTCTATATAGTTTTACAACTCTTGCGTAGAAATGTCGCGACCAACAAAAAGATATTTTAGTTGCGTTTATAGACTATAGAAAACTTTTGATAAAGTTAAACATAACATTCTCATGAAATGTCTAAACAGAAAAGGACTCAACAAAAATAACATTAACATAGTGAGATATCTCTATTGAAACCAACAGGCTGTGGTAACATTAGATCAAAATAGCACGGATGCGCAACAGATAAGTAGAGGAGTAAGACAGGGCTGTGTACTTTCATCATTACTATTTAATATATTCCGAAGAGTTATTTATGCAAGCACTTGAAAACTATAAAGAAGGAAGAAAGAAAAATAATGAAAATATAAATAACATCCGTTATGCCGACGATACAGTCATTATCGCTGAAAGTGAGACAGACCTGCAGAGGTTACTATTTGTGATACTCAGGAACAGTTTGGTTGAACCATTAACATGAATAAAACAAAAACCATGGTTATCAGTAAGAGGGGCAAAGTCATTACAAGGATCCAGATAAAAAATGAAGATATTGAGCAAGTTGACCTAATGAAATACTTAGGAGTCTGAATTACAGAAGATCTGAATCCGAAATCAGAAATTAACTCAACAATAGAGCAATCAAGACCAGCCTTTTTAAAGATGAGGCAATTTCTGAGTAACCAAAGACTCAACCTGCAAATCCGATATTGGACGATAAAATGTTATATCCACTCTATTTTCTGTATTGTGTCGAAGCCTAGACTTTTAATTTTGACTTAATGAGAAAACTGGAAGCTTTTGAGATGTGGCTTTTTAGGAGATTTTGAAGATACCATAGACCAATCATATTACGAACGAAATGGTTTTGCACAGAATGGGAAGAGACAGAGAACTTTTGACCACCATTAAAAGGCGAAAGACAGCATATTTGGGGCACATACTTAGAAATGATAAGTACGAGCTGTTGCAGCTGATTATGAAGAGTAAAATTAAAGGAAAAAGTGGTCAAAGTAATAGACGACAAATATCCTCACTGAAACACATTCGCGACTGGACCGGGTTTAACATACAGACGCTCTTAAGTAAAGCAGAAGATAGAGACGAATTTGTAATTGTTATAGCCAACCTTCATTAGGGGAGACGGTAATAGAAGAAAAAGAAGAAGGTCCTGAAGTAGGTGCTGGGGATTTATTCATGTGTTACATGTGTTATACTGAGAAAAGCGACGATGGCATTATTTCAGTAATAGAAAGTGAAGAAGACGGCGTAATGTATACTGAAAAAGAACTTTGCCACAGAATGTGTAAAAAATTTAAAAACATAGAAAGTAAAGAGGATAATGAAATAGATTATCAAACAAAATCCAACCTCAAAATATGTCAGAAGCCGAACAAAACAGAAAGCAATGAAGATTACTCAGATCAAGAACTAAAAGATGTTGGCAATAAAAAAGAATGAAATAAACGCTCAGAAAAAAATGACAGCAATTTATGTGGCGAATTGAAAGAAGTGGAAAGTAGCGAAGATAATGGAATCGGAACAGATCATCAAATAAAAACTTAGAACAAAATGTGTGAGGAACCAAAAATGGTAAGTGAAGATCTTAAAAACTATAGAACAAAAGTGGGTCACATGTCAGATAATAATGTAAATGATGACATGGAAGTCAAAGAACTAATATATCTGTAACAAAATGAAATGAAAAAATATACCTAAGTGATTTGTAGGAGCTAGATTTAATAAAGTTTTTAAATACTGATTTCAATTTTAGATTTGTTTTAAATGATAACTTAGACAGTGTCCAATAACTAAAAATTTTGAGTCCAATAGTTGAATTTTTTTTTGTCCAATAACTAACTTTTTTTGGAGCCGTTCAGGTTTTTTCAAATTTTCTACAACAACTGTTATATTAGGAATATTTAAAACTCGTAAACCTAAAATATCATATACATAATTTATGTATGATCTGGCATAGCAGAATAACATCTGTTACAAATTACATCTGCGGCAGAGACTTAAAATTGAAAATAGCTTACCCTACTATTATTACATATATTTTGGTACTATTCTTAAATTACAAAAATATGAAAGATTTTGTACCAATTAAATTTAATTTAAATTCAAGTAATAGATAAGGAATATAAACATACCTAGAACTGAATTCTATGGACGGGACCTGATTATCCTTCTCTGTTGTCATGGTCTACCTAAAAACATAAAACACTTATTAACACTTCCTTTTCCATAGAATGAGTTTTATTTATTTCCGACTGGGATTTAATGGCCAGCGAAACGATATTAAAAGAATTATGTCTAAGCGTTTTGTAAACACTTGTTATCTCTGTTCATTATTAAACGTTTATATATTATAGGTAAGTGAGAGTATATTAGTTATATTGCAGTAAAATTCAATACAACAAATTATGAGGTTACTAGGTTGAATAAGTTTTTATGGATAGGATTATGTTTATTTCGGAAAATAATTGTAAAATATTTTTTTTTTGGAATTCATAATTCTTGTTCCTTCTTATCGACTACGAAAATACTCACAAACTTTCTATACTTATTAGGGAGGTAAAAAAGCTGCAATTAAATTAAGGAATCGTACGTGGTTTCCGGGTTTTATGAGCTGTGGTCCGGAATAATTTCTTTCCGATCTTTGTCTGCTGGTCACTGATTGCTACAATCGTTACCACATTGCATTTATTAATAAGGAGACGACAAAACGCCAGGAACAAATAATTATAGAGCATGATCTGAAAACAATGTACTATTACAAAACACCGATAGCTAAAGTTTACACTCCTTCGAATAATAAGTAATTCTAAACTTCATTAAAAAATGCATTAAAAAAAGTTTAATGACTATTTTCATTCATTAGATTTACATATATAATCAAAACCCTCGATTACCATTGAAGAAGTCACGTCAGCTATTAAAAGAACTAAAGATGGCAAAGCGGTAGGGCCTGACAAATTTTGTGCAGAATTCCTTAAACTTATGGATGAACAGGGAATAAAATGGATAACAACTGTATTCAACAACATATACGTAACTGGAAAAATATCCCAAAGCTGGTTAAAGTCGACCTTCGTGACCATACCAAAAAAAGTAAATGCCAAGACATGCGAAGAACAAGTATCATGAACGCAGTTTGGATTCCGCGATTCCTTAGGCACCCGAGAGGCTCTATTCGCTGTCCAAGTGCTTATGCAAAGATGCAGGGATGTTAACTGCGATGTGTATATTTGTTTTATCGACTACAAAAAGGCATTTGATAGAGTAAAACATGATAAACTTATAAACATCTTGAAAGAAGTAGGGTTAGATGATAGGGACTTGAGAATCATCTATAATTTATATTACCACCAAACAGCCAATATTAAAGTGGATGATAAATTGACAAAGGCAGTCTCCATAGATAGAGGAGTGAGGCAAGAATGCATTCTGTCCCCGGTGTTATTTAATATATACTCTGAATATATCTTCGAGCAAGCGCTGGGAGAACTACAAGAAGGCGTATTAGTCAACGGAATGCGTCTAAACAACATTAGATATGCCGACGACGCAGTAGTTTTTGCAGATAGTCTGGACGGTTTGCAAAGAATAATGTCGCGTATATCACATATAAGTAGAGAACACGGACTTGATCTTAATACGAAGAAAACAAAGTACATGGTAGTCAGTAAGCGCGAAATATTAAATACACAGCTTTTGGTTGACCAACATCCAATTGACAGAGTGGACAGCTACACATACCTTGGTACCAACATTAACAGCCAATGGGATAACTCCAGTGAAATAAAACAACGCATAGGAAAAACGAGATCAGCGTTCATAATGATGAAGTCTCTTTTCAGAAGTCATGATTTACCACTTGCTACCAAAATCTCTCTCATTAGATGCTATGTATTTTCTACCTTATTATACGGAGTAGAGGCCTGGACACTTTCCGAAGCTTCCTTAAGAAAATTTGAGACATTCGAGATGTGGTGTTACAGACGTATCTTAAGAATTTCCTGGATGGATCGTGTGACTAATGTTGAGGTCCTACGTAGAATAGGCAAGGAATGCGAGATTATTAACACCATCAAAGAGCGCAAACTAGAATATCTTGGCCATGTTTTGAGGAATGAACAGAGATACAGCTTGTTGCAACTCATTCTTCAGGGCAAGGTATTTGGAAAGAGAGGACCAGGGAGAAGAAGAATATCTTGGCTTCAAAACCTGAGAAAGTGGTTTAATACATCCTCAACCGGACTATTCAGAATAGCAGCAAGCAAAGTTAGGATAGCCATGTTGATCGCCAACATCCGGAACGGATAGGCACCGTAAGAAAAAGAAGAAGATATAATCAAAAGCATTAACAAACAAAGAGAATACAGAATAAAGAACAAAGAAGTCAAAATACTCTGTTATACAAACGACACAATATTGATAGTCCAAGATGAAGATAGCCTGCTATGACTGATCCACAGATTAAACATAAGAGCAAAAGATTTTAATGTGATATTTTCATCTCAAAAAACTAAAACAAAAGTGATCAGCAAAGAACCAACCAGATGTAAAATAGAAATTCATGGCATCAGTATACCTTGAAATAACACTGCCCAGCTATGGAGAACTGGGCAAAGAAGTGAGAGATTAAGTAAAACAGCAAATAGGCTGGCAGGATGCGTTAATAACACTATATGGCGAAACAGACATATTAACACTGAGATGAAGTCAAAAATTTATAAACCCAGTGGAAGACCAATAATGACATATGCCTCAAAAACAAAGCCCGACACAGTCACAACACAAAGGCGGGAAATGGCAGAGATAAGAGTGCTGAGAATAGTTACAGGAAATACGCTGAGATATCGAAATAGAAGGGAAGACATTAGAAGAAAATGTACCGTACAGTTTATAAATGAATGTACATAAAATAGAAAAAAGAATGTAATAACCACATAAGCAGAAAGGGGGAGACCCGTGTCGTCAAAATAGCAAGAGATAAGTCACCAACCGAAGAAGTATCGGACGACCGCGCAAAAGGTGGAGTGACATCCTGACATAGAGGTATTAATCTGCAATGAACAAGCAAAATTGATTATAAAGAGAAAGAAGAAGAAAAATAAGTTTTACAATTAATGGACTGATCAGTTTACATGGCAATACATGACATAGAACAAAAATTATTGCCACACTTAAACTGTAGGTTCGGTATATCTTTAATATACTCGTATATCTATAATAACACACATAATAGTCGACATAATATGTGTATTATTGTGTATACTTGTATATTACAATAGCTAAATTATTTAAAATTTGTAAATATATAAATGTCATATTAAATATAAAATATGAAAATACCTAATAATAACAAGGAATAATAAGTTCAGGCTGGTGAATCATTGCTATATAGGCAAATGAAATATAGACTCCCAAAAAAATCAATAGAAGAAAGATCAAAGCCTTCGAATTGTGGGTCTATAGAAGAATTCTAAGCGTGTTCTGGACAAAACATAGAACAAATCAGTCAATTCTGGGAGAGCTTCATATAAAAGACAGCAAAAAGTAAACCGAGCACAGCTAAATTTCTTCTGTGATATTATTCCTAAAATATTAAAAATCATAAATAATAAGTACTAGTAATATTTTACATTGCGTTATTGTTTTAATTGGAATTGCTTTTAATCAGAATTGGGAAGATACGCAGTGTGTCAAGTTTAACAAAATACCTGTTTGCATAATTGCAAATAATCCAAGCGTGGTCTTGCTTACACATGCACAATAAAGCTGTCCGATATCGTCATAGGCAAGGACGGTTATAAAAAAAACAATAAGATTAGAAGAGTTAAGTTAATTATTTACCGCATAAAACTCTTAATTGTTATGTGGCGACCCTTAATTATTATGACACTTATTTATTATACTTTAGCCAGATTTTGGGCAGATCAAATCAAATGAGACAGCAAGCTAACAATATTTAGAGTGTTACCACGACAAGAACTCAAGGAATGAGGAGGAGGATAATACCAAACACAACTAGGCCAAAAGTGGCTATTGCATCAAAACAAGGAGAAGAGAAGATTTTTAATATGTTGGAATTTCAAAATGACGAGTAAGTTATTTCCCATGCCTGGATGTACGCTGCCTTTGATGTGAATTTCCAAAGAGCAGATTCAGATCAGCTACGAGTTCAGCCAGTAGATCTAGTAATACACACAGACCCCCATATACCCGATGTGTTTGGAACAGTTTGGTACCTTGGTTAGTTTTAAAATATTTCATAGGTAAAATTGATTAATATGCGAGTTGAAAATAAACAAATATTATTATTATTAAGTATTATTATTAAGTTAATATCCTTAAGAAGAAAATAAACAAATAAGTTAATATATAAAATCCTGAATAGACTACTATACCCTTGTAAAGAGTGGATTTCCTTCTAAGGTACTAAAGTCTCTTGAAAATGTATTTTTAGTAAATATAATTAAAAATAGAAAATGTAGGATTGTGCGTTCATTTTATAGTGTATTAGCAAAAAGAAACCTTAAGGAACATAAAGATTCAAAAATTGATTCAGAAGAGAAAAAATGGTCGTTTTTCAAAATTTTTTTAGAATTAATTTGGTTAGAACAAAATATAAAAATATAACTGGTGGGTACTTTTACCATCAGCTTCATTTATTTTTCTAAATAAAATGGGGTTTTAACTGTTTTAATTTATTTTGTCCTTACTTTTCCATAAATATGATCTATCCTTCTAACCTTTTTACTAACAGTGTTCAGCGCCGATACTTGTAGATTTGATAATAACTGTAAAAATTTGTTGATACTCATATTTAATCTTTGAATACTTTTAGTATATGGGTTCTTCTTTTTTCTCGTGTTCTCATGTTTATTTATACCAAGTTACTCTATTTTTTGAAATATGCAAAAGTATCTTACTTGCATAAGTTATCGATTTTAAATATTATTTTATTTTAGAGTCACTTTCTTTTTTATAACTATATTTGTTTTCATCTTCATCTTCATCATTATAGAATATTAACTAAATGTGTCCCTAGTTTTGGGAGTGAAGGAGAGACCTTCAATGATGTCTTAGTGTTGAAGTAGGTCCTAAGGCCAGGTTCTACCTAGTTTCCTTGTGGCTGGACCATTCTAGAATAATTTCCTTACTAGCTCATTTTCATGGTGAATGGTACGTATATTTTGTG